CCCCCAGCGCTGGCATGACGAGCCCATCAGGTCGGACGCGACGGCGTACCATCGCGCACACCCTCCACGCAACCTTCGACCATCCCGCCCACGACGTGCACCCATACGCCGTATGCGCCGTATGCGCCGTTGACTCGGTGTGCGAGCGAGGACCGTATAGGCAGGAACGAGGACCTCCGAACAGCGAGCAGGCTCCTGGACAACGGGCGAATGCGGGAGGCAGTGTGGGGCATTGGGGCTCCCCGTGCGATGGCACTGCAACGCTTGCGGCAGTGAACGGTGCACAGGGCAGGGAGGGTGGCGGAATGACAAGACAGGACCACTAGGCATTATCCCCAACCAGTTAGGCTCCCTGGTTTCTCACTGGTCCCTTCGTATCCAGAGTCGGTGTGAGTTACAGGCGAGGTTACCATAATATTATCTACTGAATGCGGTTGATGCAGCCTGTATACATAAGGAATTGGTTCCTGTATTAAGTTAAAGAAATCGCCCGCAATACATCACGCTTGTTCATGAGTCGTACGCGCGCATCTCCTCTTGCGCCGCCTCATTCTCGCGCTGGATGATGGCGACGTGTCCGGCCGACCTTGGCGTGATGGATATCGGGAATGGGAGCGGCACACTGTTGAAGCCTGGGCAAATAAAAACGATATTAGCCACCCGCGAAGGATAGAGAGAGGGGGGCTGCGCACCGTCCGTGTACGCGAGCGTGTCGACGTCGATCTCCGTACCGTTCTCGTCTCGCGCTTTCCTGAGGTTGAAGGCCCAGAGGATACGCGCGATGCTGTTCCGAGGTCAGCCAATCCGGATGGATGAAAGGTGAGAGAAAGCGCACTTGATGAACACGCTGTTAGAAGCGAGGAACTGGCCAGGGCATACCCGCCGCCCGTAGCCAAAGCTCTGTAGGGGAATAGGTGAGCTTGTGAGTGCGTGCGTTTTGGTGTGCGTACAGAGTGCTGCCAGGGGCCGGGATAATCGCGCTTCGACATGAACCTGCAGCAAATTAGTACGGGTGACAAGCAACCGCAGGCGACGTACCGCTCGGGGTCGAAACGATGCGGGTCGGGAAAGTCCGTGGGGTTGAGGTGGATACCCCACAGGTTCGCGATGATGGTGCTGCCCTTCGGGATGAACATGCCGTTATACACGAAGTCTTCCGTGCTGGCGTGTGGCGTGCCGCCGAGGACGGCAACAGGCCGCCACCGGAGCGTCTCGTTCACGATCGCGCGGATGTAGGGCAGGTCGTCGAAGTCGTCGAACGTCGGCATGCGGTCGGGGCCGACGACGGCATCGAGCTCGGTCTGCGCCTTGGGTATGAAGGACGGGCCGAAGGCGGCGCATGCGAGCATGAAGGACGCGAGGCTCCCTGCGCTGGTCTCGACGCCTGCGCCGAAGGGTGTAGCTGGTTGCGGGTAAAGGTAAGTTGGAGGCGACGGGAGGCGGGCACTTGCCGCAGGTGTATGCGATCTCCAGGTCGCTCATGTCGTTTTTCTCGCGGTCCTCGATAAGTTGGCGGCAGAACGAGGGCGGGGCGCGGCCGGCCTCCATCTTGGTTTTAACCTCGTTGACCAAACGGGTGAGATACTCCTTGTCCCGTTCGCGTTGCTTCAACGCCTCGGTGCGCCACGGTGTAAGGAAATGGGGGAGATAGAGGAGGGCGGGGACACTCTCCACTAGATATTTGCCTGGGATGCTACAGCAGAGGTTAGATGATAAGCACAACGAGCAACTTGGCCTCACTTGATGCTCGTCAAGAACTCCTGCGTCTCCCGATTGAGACAAACGACCTTGTCGGTGAAGACATTGTGGACCCGTCTGCCGTAGGTGACCACGACAATGACCGAGGTTGCGTAACGTTCAAGGTACTCGCGATACTTGGTCGGATTTTTGACGAGCTCGGACATCATCTGCTTGGATTCAAGGCTCTGAATCGGCTTGTATGTGTCCGACGCCTTCTGCATGAAAGAACCTGTTGGAAGTAAGTTCCCGACTTCAGGGAAATTTCCATTCGCCATACCATGAAGAACCTGAAACAGTTTAATTCGTTGGAGTCGACCTCAGAACACGGTAGTATGGTAGACTTACACGCCGCCAGCGTCTCCAGAAGGGACCTATCCCAGACATAAAGCCGCGTAGGTTATTACTCAGGATCTCCTGCCCCTGTGGCGATATTTAGCGATGTAATTGCGAAGTTACCAGGTAGATACCATGATAAATCGAGGACGAGAACTAGTAGCGGGGGACTTCTTCTCCAAGATTTCCCAGGCAGCCTGCGCGGTACCGATAACCACAGTCGGCGTGCGGCCTATTTGCAGATACACCACCGGCCCATACTGGTTGTTGAGCTCCTGGAACCATCGCCACGGTTTTTTTGGGGGAACCTGATTTCTGTTGCCGACTAGCCAGTTGCTCGGCGCTAATCATTCGCTGTTGAGTAAAATTTCTCGGTCAGTTGGAAGCTGGGACTCACCAGGCCCGGGAGGTAGCTCCTTCGCTTTCTTGGGTCGGAGGACGAGGAGCACGACGATGGTAGTGAGAGAAGCGCAGATGCCGAACTCAAGCGGAGACATTGAATCGAATCTGGAGAAACGTCCGGAAGGCATATATATAACGGCAAAGTGCGGTGGAGAGCCGCGGAATAGCGGACGGAATTCCGCTCTTAGCCCGGCAACTCGCACCAACTGCCACCAAGCCTCTATTTCACGTACCCGGAGTAGCGGAGTTTGATCCTAACTGCCTTCTCCATGGAAGTGTAGTTATACTAGGGAAAAGGCGAGGAAGCGCGTCGACAAGGAAGCGTGCGTGCGACGAAAGCACGGCTGGATAGCAATAGCACAGAAGGAACGAGGCGGGGAAACTAGAGATGAGGAAAGAATATTTGCTGCGCTGGGGATGAGGAAATAATATTAATATTTTGCTACTATATCGGTCAAGTCGGCGCACATCCGTCAAGTCGTCTCCGTCGTCCCTAGCGCGTACGTTGTTCGCCGAGCGCTCCGGCTGCATGCTCCCCTGCACCCCTCGACGACCTCGTTCGCCGTCCGCCGGCCGCCCTGTGCAGGGAGCACCCACCGCTAGTAGCTAAACAGAAACCCAACCGTCACGGAATCGTGGATGCCCAGGCGCTGGAGAGCAGAGCCGAAGGGAGGATGGAGTGCGCGCCCGGATGGAGTGCGCACGACACGCTGCTCATAATGTCAATCGGAGCCCGAGAGACCTGGGCACGGGTAGCGGTATGCGTCCGCGCACCGACTAGCGCAGGTGCTCGAGAGCCATCAACGCCAGGCTCGCTGTGAAGAGTACGCCTAGGCTCGAAGAAGAGCGGGACAAGGAGGAAGACGAGGAAACCCAAAGCTCGGGAGAAGATGTATGCATAGGAGGACGAGAAGAAGAGGAAGGGAAAGCAAAATCCAATCCCGATAGTGCAGACGCCGAAAAGAGCAGGTGATGCGAATGGTTAGGGAGTGGCATCGAAGGAAAGGGATGAGAAAAGAGGTAGAGCAGCATGCGCACTCACCAACCTCTTCCGCGCATACCATGTCCAGCTCAGCAGCGCCCGCAGTTGCCGGTGGGTGAAGGCGGATAGGATGCAGTACTGTCGTCCCACCCGTCCCGCATGTGCGAGGCTGACGGCGCTCACCCTTCTTACATCGAGGGGCCAGCGCGCTGAACACGAACGGCGTGGCGGGCCCCGTGTGCTCGCACTCGGCGCACACGCGGATGACGAGGTCAGGGAGCCCGAGGATGGCACCGCGTGCGGGCGAAAGGAGGCCTTAGGCGGGGCGGGGCGCTACAGCTGCGGTTGTGCGTCGACGTACCGCCAGAAATAGACGTCGAGGCGAAAGGGACGGCCAAATGTGCAGGCAGTGTCGTCGGCGAGAATTCTATCGCGCCGTACCCGCAGGGGGGGCGCGGGCGTGCGTCCGAATTCATCTGTCCGCGCCTAGACTTGCGTCGTTCCTGCCAAGTTCCCTACGACGCGTCGGCTCTGTCTTTTTCGTGCTCATGCTCGCTCTCCTCTGTGGCTCCGAACTGCACCAGACTGCACCCCGCTGTCTACTGGCAGTGCTAGTCGGATTTGGTGTGCGGATTGTGGGAGAGAGCGATGACGTAGGCGAGCCGGCGGTGACCGGCGGCGCACTCGTCGGCGACGGCGGGCGCTCGTGCTGGTGTCCGTGCTCGAGGTGCTGGGGTGCTGCTGCTGGTCGTGTGGTGGGTGCTGCTGCTGGTCGTGTGGTGGGTGCTGCTGCTGGTCGTGTGGTGGGTGCTGCTGCTGCTCACGGGCAGCGAGGTGTCCGAGACGGGCGGCGTGCTGCTGGCCGGCGAGGGCACGCTGTTGCTGGCGCTGACGGGGTCGCTGGTGGTGGACACCGGCGCGGAGCTCGTGTTGATATGACGGAGGATGCGCTGTGTTTCCATCCGCCCATGAGTTTCCCGTGAGCCAGCTACTCCGCCCGAAATGCCATAACTACGCACTCATTGTCGACTATGATATGTGTGCAGTGGGGTAAGGAGCGTGGGCAGGAAGCTGGCGACGGACAAAAGAGGAGCTCGACGATCCCGGCGCTTGGTCAGCTACTTACCCCATCCGGCCCCTGATCTGAAACGCAACTACGCATGGTCGCGACGTTCAACCATGAAAACATGCACCAAGAGGCAAGAGAAAAACAAAAACAAAATTTGAACAAAAAAAAGGTTGGGCTTTCCACCACAATGATCTGACCCCGAACCGAACGGGGACCTCCCACATAATTTGCAAGTATCCCCCATATTGAGTAGATGTGCACCACGCACCACGAGGTCTTATCCTCTCCGTCCTACACCTGAATTTATTGAAGAGTTCCGGAGCCAATCATCCTGTCTGGCATAGTTCACCTCTTGAATATCCATCACCTGCATTCGGAATTCTGAAAACTGATTCCAGAGTCTCAGGAACAAGATTCTCTTCCCCAACACAGCCCAGGGCCTAGAGAAAAAGGCTAACCTGCAGTTCCTTCTTATGACCTGGCCCCGAATCGAACGGGGACCTCCCACATAATTCAAGTCGCAAGCTCATTCAGGTTGGGTGGGTGTGCACCATACACCACCAGGTCTTCCCCTCTTTACCCTGCACCTGAACTTATGGGAGACTTCTGGATGCAGCTTGCAAGCCCCAGATTCTCACATACATCCCGGGACTGTGTGTAGAATTCCACTTCTACAAAAGTAATCGGCCAAGTGCAGTTGCATTGCCCCTACAAAGTCGAACGATGACCCGACCCCGAATCGAACGGGGCTTCCCACATGAATCCGAATGTAAGTGGAATGGGTGTGCACCATGCACCGACAGGTCTTATTCCCTGTATCCAACACCTGCATTTATTGAAGAGTTTCGGAAGACAGGAATGGGATTGGCACGATTCCGTTCCTCAACCACTCGCACATATTCCCCTTCTACACCCAGGGCGCGCGGCTAAAAATCCAGCAAAATATTGAACGGATTTCACCGCACCTCCGTTATGTAGGTGTCTCGACTCTGCAATCTCAGACTCAACATATGAGATGAAGTCGACTCGCAAGACTATGAGAGCGCCGACGACAACACACACCGTCGGCGGACTTGCAATCCTCTCTCTACATGTGTACGGGGCAAAGTCTCCAAGTTCTTCCAAAGACGGGGCTGTTTCGATGCACTCCCGATTGGTCACCTGAATTTCAAGAGCATGTATAATCACACAACTGGAGGGAAATATTACTCAGTCGGACACCAGAAGGCCGAATCGAGTTCAGACTAGGAGATACCAGCCCGCTCCAAGCATTTCATTCACCAAAAAAACTCGGAAATACCGAACAACTCCTTAAATTCCTCCTCAGAAAAAGCCTCCCACGTCCCGTTGGAATTCCTCCAGGCGGAGCGGTCTTTAAAATGTCAGTATCATTCCAACAAAACGGGCATAATTACTCACTCAAACGACACACCTCTAGTGTCGGGCACACGTCTCCAAATGCTCGAGCGATTTGCTGGTCTTCTTCCTCGGTGTCCCGGAGCGTGTGGATAAATTTGTCGCCGTCAAACCGGGGCAAGCATTCCAGCGACAGAAATGCCAGACGTGTAAGGCACGGGAGACAGTTCATGAGATGGTCCTGTGGCTAAATGAAGGTAAATAGGATGTAGCGAGCGAAACACCAAGAGATACCAACAATGCGGAATGACAGGTTCAGCTTAAGGCGCAGCGTCTTCGTGTGCGGTAGATTCCTCGATATAGAGTCCACAATCTCCGCAAATTGCAAGGTGTAAACGTCGATGGAATATACAAACGGAACATTGGTGCATGTCATTGATTTGAGTGCAATGATAGTCTTTTCGACGTCGCAGGGGACATCGCCCTCACAGTCATACCAGTCGAGCCTTGCCTTGTGCAAATTGTGGGCAATGATGAAAGGGACAAACGCGGCTGGGCATTCAAGCTGCTGCAGACGGCCTAGGGGCAGACGAGTCTTTGGCATCGAGGGCCAAACTTCCGGAATATAGAGGGTTTCTAATGCTGGATGGCGGAGAAGGAAGGATACCAGGTTGTCTTTATCTTTAGAACTCCAGTCGCCCCCGCCCGTACCCATGTTGCATCTGGAGAGCTGGGGAAATGTGCAGAGCAGTAACTCCCGAAGACCCGGTATGGATGCAACGGGCACTGATAAGTCCTCAAGCTTCGACAGTATTTTGCACACATCCAGTACTAGGGGGGAGAGCCTGTGGGAGAGACATGTCAACGATTAAACGGATTTTATGTGTATGTAGCTAAACGACTCGCTTTGGCCCTAAGCTTATGAAACACCTGTCATATATCGTAAATGACCGGACGAGAGGGCCTAGTGCAGTGTCTGACAGAATAGAAAGGCCAAAAGCCTCGGCGGAGGCACGAGTTTGGATGTGTACGACGCGGTACAGAACAGGCAGACAGAGGGCGTGAAAAAGCTTGGACACGCGACAGAGAGAGGCCCGGTCCGACTGCGGTGCAGCCAGGACTATCTCGGTGATGATTTCGTTGGGAAGCCATCGCGATATGGCTTTGTACGCTCGCCGAGTCAAAACCATGGTGGACGTTGTAGTCGAAGATTGATTTGATCGCATTGATCCGCGTCCGTTCGGCCCAATCTGACCTGAGCGCTGGATGATGCAATCAGGTTCCCAACGTGACAGCCGCGCGTCATTTTATGGGCAACAACAATAACAAATCGACTGGAAAAGTTACCGGACTTCACATAAACAAGGAAGCACCTCGGTCTCGGGGAAAGCCCACAACAGCGACAGCGTCCGCTACCGCAGCCCCCAGTGAAAGTCCCCACGAGGCTCTGCACACACGTCTGACATGCCCGGGAGGCACATAGGCCTGCAACAAGCGCCTTGACAACCTACCCCAGGTGTGTCTGTGGTCTTTCTGTGCCATCCAACGGGGATGAAGACCCGCGGGAAGACGTCCCCGAGGCCTCGAAACAAGGACCTCGGTGCAAGGCCTACCCGCGAGGAGAACCGAGACAGTTTGGTAGCCAAGTACGAAATAAGAAAGACCAATATAATTGCATCGATAAAAACTCGGAGATGCCAGCCAGCGCCATGAAATCCTCCAAAGGATACTTCTCCCACATCCCGCCCACTTTTCTCCACGCATATTTCTCTTCAACACACTGTCAGAATTCAAGAATTGAGCCATCCAGGTCGGTGTGGCACTCACGCAGGCAACATCCCTCCAAAGTCGGACACGCATCCCCGACCGCCTGAGCTAATTGCTGATCATCTTCTTCATCCCAACTGAAGCCGTGACGGGCCGCGAACATGTATTCCAACGACAGGAACATCAGGCCTGTGCACGTGAAACGCGAGAGGCAATCCACCAGACGTCCAATTAGTTCCTGAGGCTGTGTCAAAATGAGTGTGGGCTAATTGGAACGACCAGGGTAAAAAGCCTACGTCGTCCAGGCAATCGAATAGCCTCAACTGGAGCGTCCTCGTGCGCGGGATATTCCGCATTAAAGAGTTCACAAGCTCGGGAAAAAAGTCATCGTTACAACAAAGGAAGGGGATGTCGGTGCGTGCCATGGACTTCAATGCAGCATAAGTTTTTTCGACCTCGTTTGGTGTAGTGTCAATGTCAACCCAGGAGAGGCACACCCCTCTCAAACCGTGGGTGAATATGGAAGGAACGAGTCTGCAATGCAATATCGATCGACAAAACCTCGAGTCGGAGAAGGGCTCGCGACGAATCCACTAGGATACTACTCAGCCTGTCGATAAACATGTCGCTGGTTCAAAATGAACATGCATGGGCGGATTTAATAACTCGCCGTGTTCCGATGTTTTTGGGTCCAAATCCTGCCAGTGAAACCACCGTATACGACCGGACGAAGGTTGCCGGGGCAGCATTTGACACAACTGCAGCACAGAAAGCCGCGGCGGAGGCGTACGTTTTGAGGAATACGACACGATACATCTTGAAGAGGGAGACACAGTCCATGAAACAGTTTGGATATGCGCTAATTATCGAACGAAGTCCCAAAGAAAAATTTCACATAAATAACGGAGGTCATGAGAAGGGCAAACCTCTCGCATCCTTACACAGTTTCCCAATTTCTATAGATATCCCGGGACTAGCTACAGTCATTCGTGAAAATGCCAGTCTTTACGATTTATACTCTCTTGGTGGAATTTCAGTCACCATCTCAAATTCCTGCATAGAAAAATACTCCTAAACCCGATTCACCTTCATCCATGCAAAGCCGTCTGCACAATTATGAGCATTGACCTCAAAAATGGAAAGGGAACCCACTCAGACAACAAGCTTCGAGCGTCGGACATATGTCTCCCCACTCCTCCACTGTAGCTCGATCCCGGTCACGCCAGTGGTCAGCGGCTGGGTAAGGTATCCCCCCTGCTAGATATTCGAGGGCTGCAAAACGCAGAAGACAAGTTCTAATGTGGCGAATTTCTGTCTAGGTTGAATTTCAGCGACACATGAAGAGAATGAAACATCCCGAGGCTCACATCAATTAGGCGCCGGCGAACTACGAAAGACACGTTTCGCACGGCGAGTGTCTTGACGTCTGGCATATGTTGCGATGCAGCCGTCACGAGCGGCATGCAGAGATTAGTGTAATATTCATGGGAGGAGAAAAATGGAATGTCGGGGCTCGTCAGGGAACGTCGAGCGGCAAAGACTCTGTCAATATCATCCGGAGAAAAGGGTTTACTTCCATGCCAACGGAGTCGAGCCTCTCAACCCTCGTACCACAGGTAGAATCAGGGGAATGAAGCACGCTGGGCCATCAAAATTCTCGAGATTTGGTAGGTTGATGGAAATGGACGGAGGTATGAGAGGAGTAAATTTCAACTCGAACGCGCGTGGGGTGGCGTGTCAAAATGACGCCAGTATACCAAGTTCAGGCGTGCCCAAGCTGAAACCTATACAACAGCTAACCAAGCTGAGAACATTGCAGTTGCGCAGAAGTTCAGGATCATGAGCAGTCAGATGCTCAAGTTGCCGCATGAGTTTTATTGAGCTTAGAAAGAAGCTAAGCCTGTCGGTGAGATAAGACCATCGAGTTGTGAGGGCATGGAAAATCGGGAAACTCGCCTGGATCCTTTCGTAAGGACAGAGAGAGCTCAGGTGAAATTAGCTCGAGTTGGGTTCTTGATAAATGAGTGACAGAAATCGAAGGCACTGGCACTGTAGGGGCGGCGGATTTCCACGACGCGACTCGGATACAGAACAAGGAGGCAGAGATCATGAAGCAGGCGAGAGACCCGGCACAGAGACGCTTGGTCCGCCCTACTTGACGCCTGTATTATTTCCGTAATGATTTCGTTGGGAATCTGTTCAGTAATTGCTTTGCGCGTCGATCCCATTGTGGGAAGTTGGGTGGAAAATCGCATGCGTGACAGACGCAGTGGCAGTGTCGCCGAATCGGATCAGCACTGACATCGGCTGTTTGACCGAAACCTCCACCCAACCTCCACCATGGCTTTGCCTTGTCAGTCGTACAGTTTGGAGGCCCCCAACGAAATCATTGTCGAAATAATTCGGGCTGCACCGCAGGCGGACCAGGCTTCTCTTTGCCGTGT